TCTTCTTCTTCTTCTTCTTCTTCTTCTTCTTCTTCTTCTTCTTCTTCTTCTTCTTCTTCTTCTTCTTCTTCTTCTTCTTCTTCAGAATAAATGTCAGTTGTCCCATGGCTCTACTGCTGCTTTTAACTCCTTACAATGCACTTTGTCCCCCTGGATCAGAGCACTTAGCTTTAGCTACTTCCCCACAATCAAATTTCAGATAACCTCAGGGGCCACTCCCAAGGCAGCTTCCATCTTTTATTCTCTTTGGAGCTATTTGCTCGTGCACATGTTCACCTGCTAGACTGCATACTGTTTGGTAAGAAGCATTTATTGCACTGGTTTTCAATCATAGTTGCACATTACAGTCACTTGGGGATTTTGGAAAATCTTTTTTTGATGTAATTATAGATGCAATCACAAGGAATAGTACAGCAAGTTCTCCCAGCCCTTCACCAAGGGATTTCTAGTGTTAATATCTAAGGCAAGCACGGTATGACAGCACAATCATGAAACTGATATTGACACCAGCCTCCCATCTCTTTCAAGTTGAGAACTTTTAAAAAGTACTCAGACCCCAATCCAGACCGGCTGAACCTTTGGGCCTGGAGCTCATGTGTCAAGCTTGTTGAATACCTAAAGTCAATATTCAGCACTGTGAAAATTAACTCCAATAGGAAAGTCCTAATGTAGAATTAAGTATAGCCATGAACTAGTTCTAAATTAAGAAAAAAACCTAAATTATATCCTTGATCCTGACCTATATATAACCTTGTAATGAAATGAATAACTCAAGTATTGTACAATAGGATTTTTCTAAATCACGTAACTCGGAACTTGAGGGTCAACCCTTCAGTCTAAGACTAGATAAGAAACCTGTGCACAAGAAAAAAATAATAATAAGATAATGGTTGAACCTGGGAGAAACTGAAAACAGAAAGCATGACTTCCATCACAAATTCAGTGATCATTGGCAAGGAGATAAACAAGAGATCTCATAGAGTTAGATAACGTAGGTTTGTAGGGCAGAGACCACGCTTTTTCTTTGTACCTCTAGCACCTAACAATGGTGTGTAGATGATAGTTGCCCCATAAATATGCGTTGGATGCACGAGTAAAAGAATAGTACTAGGAGCTGGAAATGTAGCTAAAGGAGAGGTGAAGTTTACATCTTCTCTGACCTTAGAACTACAGTATCTATCGGAAATCAAATCGACAGTCCCATATAAATGTGACTGGTATAAAAAAGAAAAAAATCAAATGTTGAATGCTGTTTCCTTAATTTTTTTTTTTTTTTGCATTATAGTAATCTTTTTCCTTTTTTTTTTCTTTGTATCAGAAATCGAACTTAGGACCTCAAGCACTGTGCCGATGAGGTACACCTCCAGCTCTTCATTCCAGTAATTGTTGATGCTTTAAGAACTTTTAATTTTTTAAAGAAACTCTGACATCTATTCAGACTGAAGAGTAGACGTAGGCAAAGGAAAGAAGAAAGAACAAGAGAGACTGAGCAATCCATCTTCAGAGGAGCCTCCCCAGACACGTGTCAGCGAGAAACAG